TTTTTTTCCCTTTTTCCTCCCTGTAGTTCCAATATCAGCGTAATGCTGAAAGTTGAAACTAAAAGCTGAGATGAACTTGATACGTAAAATTTAACTTGACCTGAATCTGGCCATATTTCTTTAGGAAAAAACAAATAGTCTTCTTTCAAACTTGCACATAGTTACTTTTCACATTCTCTTTCCGAAAACAAAAACTAGAAGAAAATTAAATAATATTCAAATCATGCGTTGTAACTTGCCAATTTATTTTTAACTAGGTTCAACATGACATCTTTCATTTTCAAAGATAGTTGTTTGATACTTTAGGGAATCAAGTTATATTCTATGGATTGTTGGTAGTTATATCTAAATTTCTTCTATACTTAACTCGAAATTGTAGTTGTGAGCGCATTAAAATGTGTTATACTAGTCACGTGTCAAGATTTCGTGACCATTCTACCAAATATCTGTCGTATATGGTATATTAATTTCATGTCACATCAGTTTGATGAATATATTATTAACTCAGTTTATTGTAGACATGAGAATGAAATTGATACTTGAATTGGTTTTTGCATATATAGTTGCCTAAATTGATAATGATTAAAGAAAAGGGTTGTTCTTTTTTTGTGTGCAACAACTCATTTATGCATCATATACTTTTTCTTGATTAAAGATCAGTAAGAGATTTTCATCTGGACACTGGACTGCTACTATACACATTTCTAATCTCTCTGAATTTAGTATATCGGCGTTTTGGGCTTTAACTTCTGTGACTTGAAAGCTCACTTAAGACATGGGCCTGCATATCTAGGCCCATGTTGTTTCGTTATTACTTTTTGGGCTATAGAGCCCGTTATGTGCAAATGTTTCCTTTTCAAATTTCGAGTCCAGATATATATTTACTAATATTGCCCCTGTGGCCCACTACAAATTATCTTTTGCCAAACTGCGACATTAACTCTGAAAAAACATTTCATGAAATGGAGCAAGTCCATGAAATTGGGTGGTGTTGATCATTTTCTACAAGTTTTTACGCCGTTCATTAATAAATTTCTATTTATATATATATATATAGGGGCGGATCCAGAATTTTTTTTTGGAGGGGACTATAATTGTAACTTGAAATGAATTAGTTGCGAATAAACCCGAATTGATAGTGAAAATTCAAACAACCAATTAAATTTGTTTATTAAATTAATTGAGCTCAAGCTTATATTTTTTTCGTTTATATAACTAGTCAAGCCAGCCAACAAGTTTATTAAACAAACACGAACTTGATCATGAGGTATTCAACTCGACTCCAATAACACCTAGAAGGAATATAATATATTTAATAATATCACATTTTATATACATATATAAGGCATAAAATTGAAGTTTGATATTTTAAATTTGTGTTCAACATTATTTCAAACCACGGGATTCATCAACCATTGACTCAATACTAATAAATCTTGCAATGCCTTTTTAACTCTCTATTTTAAATTATTCATTTTCAACTTTTCACATCGTACACTCAGTTAATTCATCAATATACTATAAAATAAAAACACAAATATTATGTTTAAAGATTGTGAAAAATTACTTACAAAAATTTAATATAGTTAAAAATTCTTAATTCATAAATTATTTTAATAACTAGTGATGATTATGGGATATATGTATAGATTGAATATGCTTATAATATATATAGTATATATTGTACATGATAAAAAAAGAGCAAAATATCAGCAAAATGCCTAGTATATACATATATATATATATATATATATATATATAAATATAATAAAAGTTAAAAAATTTGGAGGGGACAATAGCCCCCTAAGGGACATTTGGATCTGTCCCTGTATATATATAATATGTAATTTTACAGTTTATGAATAGTTTCTAATTAATTGCATAGTTTTTTTGTAACTTTTTTTGCTAGTTTTTTTGTAACTAATTTATGAATGATTTTATTTTGAATTTGTGTTTTCTTATAAAAAGGAAAAATAAAAAAATATAGTAAAAAGTTAAATGAACTAATTTATTTGGCTCCCGCGTTTTTTGGGGCTTAGCTCATATTTATTTTAGTTAATGAATACTATTGTACAAATATCAACTCGCGTTTCACGTATCAATTATCTAAATGAATGAAACACGAAAGTGTATTATGAAATCACCATTAGACTCTAATTTTAATTGACGTGTTATAGTAGTCGTAAGTAGAGTTGTTACACAAACAAGATGTTTGCACACACATCTTCGATTCTGCTCGTAATAAAAGCTCGAGCTAGGCTCATTTGAAAAGAGTAGAGCTTGAACAACTCGAGTATAACAAACACAAAAATCATGGTCACGATTTTTATTTTATATTAAACGAGTCCGACAAAGTTTTTAAGAGTTTGAACAAGCAAAGCTCAAACCGTACTTTTGACTCGGTTACTAGACTAGCATAAGTTCGAATATAAATTATAAAGTATTTGGTTCGGCTCTACTAGAATAACACCTTAGGCATAAGTGTAGGCCTCATCAATAAAATTTGAAAACATTAGGAAAGAAAAAAATCAGTCACCCACTTTCTTTGCACCATTAATGCATTATAATAGCAGTGGACAAGAACGCTTGCACATTTACGAGGTATGTAAATGAATAGAAAGATCCATTTTTGAAAAGTAACTCACGAATTTCATATTTCAAAATGTCCTTTGAGGGTGCATTTATGTATTTAATTAGCAAGTACAACTTTCACATGCACAATGAATAATAATGTCTAACATCAAAATAATGGAACAAATCAAAATGCTAGAATAATACTATCATCCATCGCCAATCCATGAGGATTAATTAATCAGTAGAAATAGTATTTTTCAAATTCCTCAGGCAAATATTAACTTAATTGATTACCAACTCGATATGAGATGATTCAGCTGCAGTCAAAATTTTTTATTTTATTTTACTTTCATCAAGGCTCATGTTCAGAAAGGTACAACAATGTTACGTACATCAAAATTAATATATTAACATGTGCAAAAACATAAAAAATAATAAATAAATAAAACGTACATTAATAATGAGGATGGAATAAAAATTAGTATTATTTTTTGTCCAGCCTGATTTTAGTAATGTCTGACACCTGTTTTAACCGAGTGATCACTGTTGGGTTTGTCCCATGTGGTGATTATACTCATAAAATTTTAGTTTAATCGAAGTTCGTTTTCCACTCAATTTTGTCTAAAATAATTTGACTTGTATTGTGTCCGACCTAATTTCGGTGTCGTTCGCATCCATTCCACATGAATGACCTGTTGTTGGACTTTTTTCGTCGAATTAGTTGTACTCACAAACAATTAGTCGAATTGGAGTTTATTTGTCCACTCAATTTTTCATGCAAAATAATTTCGGGCCAAAATTAATTGACCTCTGTGTGGGGTTCATTCTGGTACTCTTCGATGTTTGTTTATGTCATGTGTTCCACCAATGAATTCGCCTCCTCGAGATGGTTGTACTCATAAAATTTCACTAGAATCAGAGTTTATTTGCTCAATCAAATTTTCATTTAAAATATTTGTTGTTCTGTAACTGGATTAATTATGTAGCATTCTGGCATATGTTATTGTTTATTAACATGCCGTTAAATTCGTCATGTTGAGAAGGTCGCACCCACAAAATTTTAGCCTACTCTAATTTCATTTTTCTTACTCAATTTTAATTTCGTCCAGAATTTCTGCGAACGAACTCAATTTTTTGGCATGTGTATCCGGCCCGTGTTCAACTCAGCTTTTAGTCTGTGACAGAGAATAATTCGCCTTTTTTCCCGTCTCACATGATCAATGTACCTTTTTATATTATTCGTAAGTTAGTGTATTAAGTTTGATGTTCCCCAAATATATGTATCTTTTCGAGATACTATCCGACTTAACGTACAAAATTAAAAATTTTGCCTATTATAGCATGCAAACTTTATCATCTATCTGTATTTATATATTATAAAAGTATGACGGATTGGCTCTTTAACAATATTAGTCCGTCTAACATGAGAAATGGTGTGGAAAGTTTGGAGTTTTTGCTAATTGCAGCTAAATCTACCTTCTTGTATAATAAGAAAACTGGAGGATGCATCTGGGTTTGACACGTGGCGTCATAGAAAACTAGATAAAGAGCCTCATTTCTTTCCTTTGTTCAGTGCTTTGGTGCATTTTTTTAATTTAATTTATTTTTTTTTTGTCTTATGGTATAATGATAATTTAACTCATGTGGTTGTATTTTTTCTTATGATCACACTATTTAAAAAGCTTACTAAATTTGAGGCCAATTTGTAGATACCTTGGTTGCTTGGTTCTAATTATCTGGAGATATACCTGAAAAGGACTTGAGGCATAAGAAACATTAAAGGTGATAATTTTTTATTCTAATAATTTTAATAAATATTATATATTAAGCCTCAAGAGATTAATCACATATAGTTTTTTCCTTCTAAGTTGTTTCATTTTTTTTTAATTATCATTTTCTCCTTCACACGCATTTTCATATCTATTAATTGGTGTGAATTCAATATATTATATCTTGTGCAGGCATTAGAATTTGCATGCAACAAGTAACATTAAAACAAAGATTCATTTACAAAAGTAATAGACGTAGGCTCACCAACATTATTCTACGTTTCTCATAGTTCATATTTTTCAAGAAAACTTAGTAGTTGTTTTACCAAATAAAGTGGTTAATCGATGTATATAATATGTATGGGTTGCTATTATTGTTTGTATTTAAGGTGGATATTGTTGATGATCGACTTGGTTTCATGAGATTAGAGCTAAAGACTAATCACCTTGTTCGATTAATAGTCCCTCAGAAATAGCTGAACTTAGCTCAAGTCGGTGCCAGTTAAATACGTTGATTACCGACTTCCAATTGACTGAAAGTAGACCGACAACTTATCAGAAGCCGACAACCGACTTCACCAACATTGTGAATATGATCTTTAAAATATTATTCATTCATCCGACATCCGAGGAGATCGAATTTCCAAGCAAGAAAAGCTGTGCATATTTGATTGGACCATCAAAACAAAAAGCAATCATTGATGTTTCCTCATTCCACTACACACCGTTTTATCGAAGCTGCTCAACATTAAATGCGATCTTATCTACCTTGGACAAAAAGACAAAAACGACCGTACTATAAATAGCAGAATTTATAGTTGTATAAGGATCTTCCTTCTTCTTTCTTTCGCACATTGTACACGAACCTGAAATGATCTCGGTCAAGAACAAGAAACCGACTTCCTGTACTCTTGTGATATCATCAATAAAATATAATTTCCTTTTTATTTCTGCTTAAACACACCCGACTGTTTATAATCTTAAGTTGTTAATTACATACAACAACAGATATATTGAAAAAAGTTTGGTTGTGGTGTGGTGTTCTTCCATTTTGGCATTTGTGTTATTATATTAATATTTTAGGCCTTAAAATTCTATTATTAGTGGTGGTGTGCGATTCTTTAGGCCTTCATCCATACTATATAATTTATATTGAAATTCTGAGTTTTGCTACAAATTTATAATTTCTGCCTCTTTTTTGGCATGTCATGAAAGTGAACATTTTATTTGTCTGCAGTCCTTTCATCGTGTAGTGTTTGGAGGAATATAACGCATCATATGATGACGCCCAGTTGTGAGAATAGAGCTGAACTTTTGACCATATTTTCAAGAAAGATGTTCCTGATATCTCAATTTTTTGCTCTTATATTTCTTTTTAGCAAGCATAATTCTAATTATATTTTGTTTTCTCTTTAGTAAAGTTTTCTCTTACTTACCAGCTTTAAAAATTTTAGTTTCAACTTTTTCAAATAAATAATACGCTTTCAAATATGTTTATACAATTAAAAATTAATTCTTTATAAAAAGTTAAACAAAAAAGAAAATAAATAATATCATATGGGCCGACGGTGTTTAACACCGTCGGAAATTTTCTAGTAATCAAAGAACAAAACTAACAAAGTCAACTAAATTAAGTTGCAAAGTCCCCTTCTCACACTCCCCAACCAATAGTTCCATGCCACGTGTACCAGCTCATTGAAACATGCCAAACTTTTTAAACTAGGCAACGTGTCAAAACAAGACCAATACAAAATTAAATTAAGACCAAACTAATTACACAGCCACGTGAACGCAGTATACTATCATTAATATGTGTGTTTGCTGAGCTTATAAGAATCTGTTTTTGACATGCAACCAAATAATACTATAATATACTCTCGACATTTTAGTTGTTGATTTGCTTACTTTATTTCAATTTTGGCACATAACAAAGATATATCATTTAATTTGTATGAAAACAAAAGGCCGATACTATCTTACAAGTAGGCTGTCTTAATTTGATAGTATTATTTTAAATGCACTCAACAGCCATGATTTTGATTTTGTGCAGTAAATTAGAATCCACGTGGACAGGCTATGTGTTGAATTATTAGGCGTTGGCTTAGATCACACGCTCGGGAAGTAGCCTTAAGATTTGATGCACTCAACAGCCATGATTTTGATTTTGTGCAGTAAATTAGAATCCACGTGGACAGGCTATGTGTTGAATTATTAGGCGTTGGCTTAGATCACACGCTCGGGAAGTAGCCTTAAGATTTGATGCACTCAACAGCCATGATTTTGATTTTGTGCAGTAAATTAGAATCCACGTGGACAGGCTATGTGTTGAATTATTAGGCGTTGGCTTAGATCACACGCTCGGGAAGTAGCCTTAAGATTTGATGCACTCAACAGCCATGATTTTGATTTTGTGCAGTAAATTAGAATCCACGTGGACAGGCTATGTGTTGAATTATTAGGCGTTGGCTTAGATCACACGCTCGGGAAGTAGCCTTAAGATTTGATGCACTCAACAGCCATGATTTTGATTTTGTGCAGTAAATTAGAATCCACGTGGACAGGCTATGTGTTGAATTATTAGGCGTTGGCTTAGATCACACGCTCGGGAAGTAGCCTTAAGATTTGATGCACTCAACAGCCATGATTTTGATTTTGTGCAGTAAATTAGAATCCACGTGGACAGGCTATGTGTTGAATTATTAGGCGTTGGCTTAGATCACACGCTCGGGAAGTAGCCTTAAGATTTGATGCACTCAACAGCCATGATTTTGATTTTGTGCAGTAAATTAGAATCCACGTGGACAGGCTATGTGTTGAATTATTAGGCGTTGGCTTAGATCACACGCTCGGGAAGTAGCCTTAAGATTTGATGCACTCAACAGCCATGATTTTGATTTTGTGCAGTAAATTAGAATCCACGTGGACAGGCTATGTGTTGAATTATTAGGCGTTGGCTTAGATCACACGCTCGGGAAGTAGCCTTAAGATTTGATGCACTCAACAGCCATGATTTTGATTTTGTGCAGTAAATTAGAATCCACGTGGACAGGCTATGTGTTGAATTATTAGGCGTTGGCTTAGATCACACGCTCGGGAAGTAGCCTTAAGATTTGATGCACTCAACAGCCATGATTTTGATTTTGTNCACTTTTTATGAGTATAAAATTTAGTGGCAGCTTGAAAAATGAGAATCCTGTCCAACTGCCCCAAGCATAGTACATGCAATTTCCAATAATTTTCCTGCAGAATGTTGAAATCACTAGCTGTTAGGGCCAATTTCATTTAGACACATAGTAACACAAAACAGAAAGAAAATGGCAATAAAATTTCGTACTTTAAAAAATAAATATAAAAAGAACATGATGTTTTACAGTGCAAATAGGCATTTTTATTCAAAAATTATAATGAGTCAAACCGAGTAACTGTTAGGCTGCGTAGCAGAAGTATTTTAATATTCTAAATATTAAAGTAAACAAAAATATGACATTTAATAACGTAAGTATACATTTTTTTGTTATAAATGTATTAACCCGACTAACGATTAGCCACGTTCAAACAAAGACAATTGTGTTATGATGCTTTCTTGTGGCACACAGACTAAGAGCAGCTCCAATGCTGCGCTACTCTAGCGTAATACGCTAGAGTAGAGACAAAATTGCTCTCCAACGCTGCGCTACATTTTTGCACTATTTGTTTTTTATTTTCTTATATTATATATTGATTTATCTTAAACATTATTATTTGACAAAATTTGTACCATATTTATAATTTAATTTTAAAATTATATGAAAATATTATTTTTTAAAAATTTATATTTATATTGAATTCCTACAAAATAAATCAAATAATATAAAATAATAATAATTATTTGTCTAACAATATTTCAGTCTTGTATTAGACCAACTAAGATCATGATATATTTATTATATAAAATAATATGTCCAATTAAACAATATTTTAACATGTTAGATAAATTAAAATAATATGAATAATATATGTGGAGTAGAATGTAGTGCGAACGGTTGGAGACCAAATTTGATTTTTTTTTAACTCTACTTTAGAGTAGAGTAAACTCTAGGCTAGAGTAGAGATAAGGACTGGAGATGGTATAAGACAAGTGATCAATAATGAGACTTTTGGAGGTACAGAAAATAAAATAAACTAATGTGGTTAATGCATATGAAATTATAAATATACAGCCTGGTCTCAACAATTGCTTTTTAAGGAGAATCAATTATTTGTGGCAATTTGCAAAGCCACAGCTGGGTTGATGGACCCAACACGGCCCATTTAGGTTAGTTTTACCAGCACTAACATTAGCTGGCTGAAGGTTCTTTGACATCTTTTGTGTTCCTCACACCATAGGATAATATCTCATCACCTTTTTTCTTTTTTTTTTTTTTTTTATTTTTTAATAGAATTATATTAATAAATAATTATTAACTCCTATATTTAGAACCACACAAAAACCCAAGCTTTTAGCTTTTGTTTGAGAACATTTAGTTAAAAAGTGAAATTTGATTTTAACAGACCGCCAAATTTTTAGTTTCATATGAATCATATGTCTCCATAAACTTAATTCTTTCTATTGAGCTAACTAAATCAATTAAAATGGTCAATTTCCTCTCATATTAACACTAATCAATACCCTAACATAATTTTAAAGTGGCAATTAATTAACTAGACCCAATCTAATTGTACCATTTAGCGCTCTTGCTACACAATCCAATGGCAACCTCCGAAATTCCCGCACAAATTTTGATTACCGTCAAATTTTCCGAACACTTTCTTAAAACCTACTGATTAATTATGCAATTCAATTTACTGACATACCTCTTCTCGGCTTGGACACAACCCGCCCTCCGGCCGCCGTCCTCGGCGCCGCCGCCGGCTTCGTTTCCTCCGGCGGCCTCAACACCCCGTCGATCCCCTGCACCGATATCCTCCCGTCTGTATAAATATCCGCGTCGAACAAATACGCCGACGACGACCCGCCGCCGCCGCCAGACCCGAACCTGACCGACCCGTCGGCCTCCTCCGCCACCACCTTGTGCGGCAGCCGCAGCGTGTCGTAACTCACCTTTCCGAACCTCCTAACCGCGTTGTACATGCTCTCCTCCGTCTGGTACTCCGGTATCATGTGGTAGTATATCAACCTCTCCGCCGCCCCCGCCTCCGCCACCTCCTCCGCCGCCACCTTCGCCATAGCCTCGTCGTTCGGCGCCAGCACCGTCACCACGTAACCTTCCGACACCAGCCGACCCATCTCCGCCGCCACCGACGTCAGGTTCGCCAGCATGTCCGCCACCTCGCCGTACCCGCCGTACCGGAGGAGGGTCGCGATGAAGTCCTTCACCTGACTCTCGCCGTCGAAGTGCCCGCGGGGCCCTCCGGGCCCTGGAGCCGGCGCCGGCGCCAGGGAGGGGCCTGGGGCCATGGCGTCGTAGATGGGGAGGGCGGGAGGGGAGCCGGCCGGAGCCAGAGGCGCCGGCCGGCGGAGGCGGTGTGTGCGCGGGTCGACCTCCGGCGCGGACGAAGGGAGGACGGCGGCGACGGCGCGGAGGCTACGACGGGCGTTGAAGGCCTGCTGGACGGATTTCGGGACGAGGAGCCTGTCCACGCCGTGGATGACGCCGTCCGGCCGGAGGACGTCGTCGAAGCGGACTACCCGGGCCGACCCGGCGGACAACTCGCCGGACTTTGATCTCTGGAGGGGGATGCGTTCGCCGGCGGCGTCGCGGCAGAGGGTAGGGTGGTGGGCGGGCTCGGCCCGCCAGAGCCCGGATTCGATTCGGGTCGGGATCATGTGGAAAAGCAGGAGATTTTGGAGGGATTTGAGGTTTCGGGGCTCCATCAAGAACCGTTTGAAATCCGGGTCCAGATTCCGGTCGAGGGCTTCGTTCTTGGGGGCTAAAATGGTAATATTGTGCCTCGAGACGGCGTCTTCTAGGGTTTGGAGCAAAAGGGCCTTCTCGACGAGCTCCGATAGCTCGGTGTAGTGTGAGTCGAGGAGGGCAACGAGGACGGAGTTGGAGTTCACGACGGGGCCGCCGGAGTTTGGGGTTCTGGTTGCCGGAGAGTTTTCCGGCAATGCGGCGGCTGCGAGGGGGATAAGGAGGAGGAGGAGGGCGGAGATCTGAGGGATGGCCATGGCGCTGGGGGTGGTTGGAGTTTTCTCTCTCTATAAGAGATTTTTTATTTATTTATTAATTTATTTTGGTGGGTGTTTATGTTGTGTTCTCTCTCTTTGAAGTGATGGAAAATGTGAACTTTGCTTGTGATATGGTTTGTAGGAACTAGGAAATGGTGTTTTTATGTTGTTTGGTGAATGATTAGCGTATATTGGGTGAATTATTGAATAGTTGGGTAGTTGAGGGGTCAATGTGTGTATATTTTGTGCTTGTGTCTGAAATCTCGATATTTTACTGCATTTCTGTTACTTGTTCCTTTAAAGTTGAAATTGGGAGAGTGGGACAAAGGGTTTGATTTGGGGCTTTTGGCTTTTGGTTAAAAGCCCGATTTCTTGTGTACTAGAATGTAATAAAGTATTTGTTGGCAGTCGGAATAATTTACTCACATTTATTTCATACCAAAAGCTTGATTATTTATGAAATAACTAGTGTGTACCTCGTGCAATACACGAGAACAATATTAAATTAACAATATTATAAATAGATCTCGAGTTTGAGTTAGTCAATGGTGGAAGTGGAAACTACTATTGAATTCAAAAAGAGGAAGAAAAAAAATAATTATAAATTAAAGAGGATGATAAACAATATTTTATAATTATAAGTTAAAGATTCGGGTCAAGCAATATAAAATTATTTTGTATAAGAGAATATAAAATTTACAATATTTTGTATAACAGAATATAAAATTTGTATGTTTAATATTAAAAATACCTAAAATATTATATTAGTATTTGTAAGAGTAATCAAAATTTTCTATATTATTTTTGAAAGATGTGAAGTCACCTACAACATTTCTAAACAATTTTAGAAGGAACATATCTAAAAATATTTGAATTTAACATTGCGTAAAAAAGATTTTTCTAGACTATTTTGTAAGGAAATCATGTCTACAAATATTTAAATTTAACATCAATTATGTATGTGTATATGTATATATAGACGAATATGTAAAAAAAATGTCTAAACAATTCGTTTAAAGTATCTAAAATATTATGAGCATAATTTGATAAAGACATTATGTCAGATAATACCGAATTTATGGTGTTACTTCCTTCTAAAAAAAATTTGATTACATTGTTATTATATTTTTTACGTTGTTATCGAGGATGTATTGTTAGCTTATAATATTTGTAAAAATGTTAGTAATTAGACCAATGAAAATAAATAATGAATTTCTAGTAATAATTATGAATTGGTTTTTTTTTATTTTATTTTTTTTAAATCTTTATAGAAGAGATGAGATTTTTTAAATTCGTGAGACGTATGTCATAGGATTTTTAAATCTTTATAGATTTATGCTATGAGATTTTTGTGGGAAAGTTTAAGAAAACAATGCAATTAAAGAGCCATTTTTTGTGTCTATTCACAATTGTCCAACAATTACTATATTTAGGATATATTTAATGATTTTGGCGGGAAAAAGTTTCTAAATTTATAAAAAGGTTATTCTTTTTATATAATGATAGATTACTCACATTTATTTGATACTCAAAATTTAACTCAACTTTAACTCAACCCACTATTTTTAATATTATTCATTTTATTAAATAATATAAATTAATCATTCTTACAGATCACGTCAACTTTAATCACTACTCATCCGCTCACATAATTCTAGTTACCTATCATTTCCAATCATTTATCTCACACATTTACATCAAATCAATTTTAATCATTTTATTTTAAATATTATTTTAATATATTATTAAAATTCCACTAACAACTAACCATACTACCTTTTTCAAAATTAACTATGATTAACCAAAATAACTCATTTTGAACAAGTTATTTCATAAACAATCAAGCCCTTAGTATATTACTATAATTCAAGCAACTTTACTTAGAGGTCGAATTGTCTGTATCAACAGACATTAAGGGCATGCTTGTTTATGAAATAATTTGCTCAGATTTATTTCATACTCAAAATCTAACTCAACTTTAATTCAATCCCACCATCCTTAATATTATTTATATAATTAAATATTATAAACCAATCATTCTTACATATCACATCAAATTTAATTCACTATTCATTCACTCACATAGTTCTAACTATTTATCATTTCCAATCATTTATCTTCTACTTTTACATCAAATCAATAATAATTATTTTATTTTAAATATTATTTTAATACATTATTAAAATCCCACTAATACTAACCATATCATACCAGTTTTTTTCAAATTTAACTCTAGTTAATAAAAAAAAAAACTCATTTTGAGCAAATTATTTCATAAGCAAGCATGCCCTAAGATTTTAGCTCCTCATTTGTCCCTTCGATAAGATAATAAAATGCTCCTCAACAGCCTTCAATAAGATCTTAGCATGCATTTTGGTCCCTGGTGCAGATGGAGTATCCGAATATTTATTATTACTGTGATATTTGATAGTATCTATTATTCTTATTATTACTAACATTTAATAATATTTATTATTAGTCTTGATGAACACGTTAGGTTTTAGGTTTAGAGGTCTTATATAAAGGACTTTTTCTAATTTATTTTCGTCAGTTAAGTTTGAAATAAAATTAATCTTGTTTATCGTGTTTTATCATTTCTACTCGTACGCTTCCCTACACCAGTCTCTCATGTCGACTGTTAGAGTACAACTTTAGGTTGTTGTCTATTGTTTCGAGCTCTTAAATATTAGATCGACCTCTATATAAAGTTGCTTGAATTATAGTAATATACTAAACTTTCGATTTGAGGTTAGCACGTCGAAACTTTTTAAAGTCATAAATATTACTCGACACTTTGTATGTTATTAGAAGTCAAATTTTAGATAAAAATCAACGAATTAAAGGAGTCAATTCATTTGGTGTAAATCAAATCAAATAGTTGAAGCACATGTAATATTATTGTTTGGTATATCAACTAAAGTTATAGTACATAACAAGATTATGTAACAATTAATTGTAATAATGTTTATAAAAGAGCGGGAATGAAGAGTTGAGAGGAAAAAGCTTAAACCTAAAAATAAAAAAGAAATGTTGCTTTATAAGCGATGAAGAACAAGAGCTTTTGTTGTCGTCTATCAAGCAGGGGTAAAGTTGGAATTACACAAATAAGTGGCAGGATGGAAGTGGGGACCACGCGGGAGTGTACAGCTGGTGAAAAAAGAGTATAGCGGTGGCTGCCCGCTGCCGCAGCTGATCATTGCCTGCTCTATAAAGAAAGCCACCGCTGGCCGCTTGTTTTTACTCATTTTTATTTTTATATTTTCCAATTTCCTTTTGTTGTTTAGAATGTGGTTAAATAATAGATAAAAACTAATCATTAAATTAACGTGGTATAAAATAATAAAAATGTTAATAACAAATGAAAATGAACTTATGCCATATAAAATCAAATTTTCATCTACATTGTCATTTCTCTTTTTATTTGTTTTGTTTTATTTTCCACTTTGAAAAGAGACTATCAACAATGAAGCAAACATTTTGAAATAAAGTTTTATACGTTAGATTAGATTTGTAATTTGGATTTGTTTTGCTGATTTGTATTCGTAAAATTATAATTCTAATAAAAATTAAATTTTGAATTTTCAGAAACACCGAATACGAAATTATAATATAGAAGTAATTCACATTTGTATCAAACTTTTGATTTGATTCATAAATATGTTATTATTCTATATTATTTATTTCATCACAATTTAAATATATATTTTTTGTTAGTACAAGTTTTGATTTTATGGTTTACAATTTTCATATCTATATATATAATATTACTAGCATAGTAATTAATAAAAATATTTTTGTTTTCCGCCAAAATACGTTACAAAATTTTATCATTAATATTTTTTTTTCATTTCATTCCACTTTTATCTAAATGTTACAATCTCTATTATTCAACTTTTATATACAATGTAATTTCTAATCTTCTTACATAATTTTAGTCTATTTGCGTTTTGTCACCCATTAAACCCATATTTTATTTTATTTAATTCTTGGTTTGAAATCATATATTAACAAATTTAATACAATATATTTAATTTAATAAAAAAAATTTATGTTACTTTCGGATTTCTTTTATATTATTAAAAGGTGTAAAGGAATTATAAATTAATATTACATTCAAAGAAAATGCAAAATCAATTAAATGACAAAAAAAGAAAAATATCCAGTTATCTCTTTCAATGGATAATGTGCGCGCACATGGATCGTATTAAAGAATATATATAATTAATCAATACATAATATATTAAATACATGAAAAAGAAGCCTTTTATATAATTTTTAACATATAAATGTCAAAATTAACTAATATAATAACATATCAAAAAAATTTAAATAAGTGTTTTACAATTTAAAATAATATTTAAATATATTGAAGTATTTTTATAAAAAATAAAAAATAAAAATTATAGTGGTACGTTTGAACTATTTTTTACCATGCATGATCGGTTCATTACCGGTTCTTTGAGTAGTTTCTTAAAAATGCCAAATCAGTCAAGTGATTGGTTCTTAATCCAACCGTACTTCAGATTAACTGAGATTCGATTTTCAAAACCATGCAGACTACTCCTATTTTAACATTTTAATATTTTATTGGTGTTATTATGCATAATAATTGGAAAAACAAATGCTAGTTGACAAACTACAAGTTACCAAACACCTGCCCTCATAAGATACTGACTCCTGGCCGGCCCGGCTTGGCTAAGCCGGTATCTTATTGAACCGATTGGCTTACAAAGGAAGCCGAGTCCAAAGTATGACGGCACCATACCGGCAGAGGTGCAGTCACTGTCCGATTATTATAATGATTAATGAATGAGTGTTGTGTTTTTTCACGGCAAATTTAGACTGTAATCTCCTTTTTTTTTTCCCTTAAGAATTTAAATATATATTTGAAAAAGATAAAAGTGAAAAAAGTCTAACAACCCCTTCTGTGTGTTGAAAGTAAAATTTAGATATAATTTAATTATTAAACATGAATTTAGGATAAATGTAGGTCTGGAATCTTAATGACTTTGAAATGATTATATTCCTATTTTTAGATTTGATGGTCATTTAAGTCATGTAAGAATGAATTAAGATATTGAATTTGGTGCTATTTAAGTTATGTGAAGTTGGAAAATTTTGTCATTACCAATAATAGCAGCATCTTAAGTACTACTAGTTTTTATCATTGAACTATCATACACGATTATGTTACGGAACTAGTAAATAATTGAAATAATGGGGAATTGATTTCAAATTTCCTAAAGTATTTAAATAAACAACTATATGTCAACATCAAATGAATTTTCAAAATATTATAAAGGATGAGAAAAGCACCCGCCACCGCTTACGGTTGTTGGTGATGTTCTAATTAATTTTCTATTATTAGTAATTAAAGAGATAGAGATACATTATTATTATTTTTTTATTTCTTAGATATTATGTCAATATTCGAAAGAATTTTAATGAAAAAACTATAATATTTCATCTCATACTCCACATCTAAAATGAAGCCCACACATACAGAGGTAAACCAATAAATATTCATAGAGTACTAATTATCAACATTGTATATGTAGTTCAGTTGAAAATCATTTATAAGATATTTTTCTTATCCCTATTTATTGAATTATTCATTTCTAGAATACACCTTTCATTTACAGTGCATTAGCCATAGACAGAGCGAAAGAAGGCCCAGGGGACCATGGACCCCTCATTTCTTTAAAAAAATTAATATATATATATAATACTATAAATAAAATATATATAGAAAATCAAAAAATAATTACAAATATATTTATAATTAAAAAAAATTCAATTCTATTTTAATTTAAATTAATAATTTTATTTATTTATTGAAAAATGTTCTAACAATATTTATATTTTATATTTAAAGATAAATTTTTGAAAATATTTACAATGATTACTCTTTCGGTCTCTTAATTGTAAATCCATTTAGTAATTTATAAAATCGAGTAGTTATTGTTACTTTTTTTAATGTTGGCATTTTTACTTTTTTTTATAACAATCACATATTTTTAATTTTATTTATTTTTTTCTTAAAAAAATGCTCTTGATAAGCTTTCATCAACAAAATAATATGTATTGTGCTACAAATGTTTAATTTAAATTAAAATTTCTACCAGAAAACTTATTTTTTCATATATTATAGATGTTGAACTTAAAATATATAATCTCGATCATTTTTCTTTTATTTTTATTTTTGTAGAAGTTTGAGGGTGATACAAATTATAATATTTTAAAAAGTTGATGATACACATATCGATATTTATATTTACTAGTAAATACATTTTTATATGAAATGAACGTTTCGACTTAAATTATAAGTTCGTTATTTAACATTTAAAACCGAACTCCCCTGAATAAAATTCCTAGATCCGTCACTGGTATTAACTAATAGGGACCCCTCTCCAAATAAAGATGCGTGTCTCATCCAATCACATTATTATTAGTGGGGAAGGGTTGAAATAAAAACAAGCTATAGATTAAATATTATATGTCATTCTTAATTATGTATTATGTTAGTTTTTAACATTATGGCCCCGTTTGGTAGATAGCGGATTGAAGGTAAATTAGCGGATTGGACTTAATTGAGAGGTTTGACCCGTCAAATCCGCTATTGAATCTGTTTGGTAAATAGCTTATTTGATAAGCTTTTTGGGCTCAAACCTCTAATTTAGAAAAAGCTCATTAGAGGAGCTTTTTGGGGATAGAGGATTCACAAAAAAACTTTTTACTTGAAACTTTTTAATTTGTATTATTTATTTTAAAATCTATATTGGTTTATGGTGCTAATAAATAATAATATGTCATCCATATGATTAATTTATCTAGAAAAATGTAAAATTCATAACTTCTTCATCAAGTTTTAGGCAATTTAAAGAAAAAAATAATATATTTATAAATTACCAACTAAAGAATATTAAATGTTTTAATATATTATTATTAAAAAAATACACCCTAAATAATAAAATATTCTTATTGGTCATTTTGTAATGTCAAACAGCTATAAGCTTTCAGCTATTTACCAAACACTTATTTAAAAACCGCTAATGCAATCTGCTGGTCAAATCAGCTAATATAATCCGCTATCCACTATCCGCTGATACAATCTGCTATCCGCTATCTGCTATCCGCTGATCGCCAAACAAGGCCTATATGTCTTATGCGAGGTTGTTATGCGAGTGTTGATCGAACGGCTCGATAAAGTAAAATTCACCAATTACACATGTGCTAGTATATATGAAGAATACTGATATTTTTAAAAATGATTCACAATTAAAAATAGTGTAACATCATATTCGGTTCTTATAATTGTTGTTTGATCTTGAACCAAACACAATATAGTAAACCTATATTTAAGGCATTTGGCCTACACAATGCATGCATGGACCAGAAACTAATTATAGTTATGGGGACCATAACTTTTTATTTTAGTATTTTGGAAATTTTTATAATGATTGATTAATGGTTCCAAATGAAGAATATAAGTGGTTGTTTGATGATGAAATTTTAGATGTGACAATCGAATGAATCATGACCTAAGTGTAAATTTAATATGAGATCCGCACTTTGAACGTGAATCAATTTTTTGTCCTGTGCCAAAGAAGTGTCGGCTGCCTAATATTTGATCATTAAAAAAATTGCTCAAAATCAGTTTTTAGCTTAAAATTATTGCAAAATAATATGAACTTTTATTGTACCTTTATAAAGTATCTAATAATAGCAAGCGACTATGCTTCTGAGCAAGTGCCTTTGACTGTCGGTGCCAAGCTAAAAAATAAATAATGTACATTTATGAAATTTATATTTTGGCCCATCAAAATATCCACACTGCATCCCCACCAGCTTGAGTCTAATTGTTAGTAAATGTGAAATGAGTTTCAAATGTTTGAATGAGAGTCTAAGTAGGGCATGTAGAATTATTTGAATTAGTTATATTAATTTATCTAGTGCATACTGTATACTCATATCATATGGGGGTGTGCAAATTAAAATCAACGATGAATCAAAATAGCTTGCCAGCAGCTCGTAAGCACTTGAGTCAAAACTCGAGTTTGACCAACTTGAGCAGTTCTAACCATAACTCAAACTGAGCTGCCTATTTTTTATAGTCTCAAGTGCTCGAGCCAGTGCTCGACTTAGCTCAAACCTTAACTAGAGTTAAGCTTGTGATATTTATTATAGTCTCGAACACTTGACAAGCTGATCGAATTTATGTTGGGTAAAAGCCCACTCATTGATAAATTAGCCCAATTACAAACTTAGGCCCAAATAATTTGGGCTTTTCTTCATGGCACTTTGAGTTTAACATCTAATCTAAATTTCCCGTGTTCTCGAAAAAACTCAAATAGAAATTTCTTTGTCAATTATGGGATACATCTAGACAAATTCAACAAAGGTTGTACAAATTCTTCACACTAAATTTTGTTTGATATATTATTGATCTATAAGAAATTATCAGGAAACAATGAACGGGAGCATTTTTCTGAGTCTTGTAATTTTGAGTTTTATCGAGCCTATTATTTTTGGGATCTAAATGGACAGGTCATATGAGAATGACTCTATTATCTTATATAAATAGTAATAATAATAATGTATGTTGATAAATTTTAGAATAAGTTAATAATGAAATATCATATGGTGAACAAATATAAGTAAAATTATTAAATTTTTTTATCAATATTTATATATATACATATATATATGTTAAATTTAAATTTATATTAGTATATAAAATAGTGAGAGAATATATTTATTAACGTACAAGCAACTCAGATTTAAGCTAAAAAAACAATACTAACTAAACGAGGTGGAAAATGGATAAACACGACTTTTTTTAGCCTAGATGAACATATAGTCTATATGTTAATAATTCATTTAAACATCTCGTGCATCACGGACTATAGACTAGTTTAACTGTTTAGGCATGACTTTTCAATTTAACTTTTTCAACTGTTTTATTTTTTTTAAATAAAACAACCTTCCTCTTTTAATTAATTTTGTCTATTTTATAATCAATCGTGTTAAGGAAAAGGTAATACGAAAAAGTCATATATGTATAGACAAAATTAATTATCAATCAATTAATTAATTAAAATTAATACGTGAACTCCATCTTCATACTGCCATTAATTCACCTCTCCTCTCTCCCTATCTCTTTCAAAAGGTTTTTCTTGAACGTGACGACTGCTTCGGCTTTTCATCATTTGGGGAAAACTTTATTCCTCAGCTTTGCCCAATTTGATGGAATTTTTTCCCATTTATTGACCCCTTTTCTTCCGTAAAAATTCATCCTTTTTCTATTATGGAGGTAACGGTTTTTAATCCCATAATCAAAAGTTAATTTCTTGTCCGATCTGATTTGTGTATGTTTCTTATCCAATTATCTGCTGGTTTCGTGAATTATAAATGTCTTTCTTGATTTATTGTCTGATTTTCTTCATTTTACATGATTTTGGTGATTTTTGAACCCTAGAGAAATTCGTCCATTAATGTGTTTGTTTGTTCAATTGTTCAAAATGTGATGTTGAACCATATACATATATATACATACCCCAGGTTCTTATTTTTTGTTCGAATTTTGTGTTGTGTGTGTTTTTATTTAGGTTGTGAAAATGGATGAGGTCAATAAGGCAGACCTGACGTCAGCGGCGGCTTTTGTGGAAGGAGGGGTTCAAGAGGCGTGTGATGACTCGTGCAGCATATGCCTCGAGGATTTTTCCGATAGCAACCCCTCCACGGTGAATTGCCCGTTTTAAATTTATTATTATTATTATTTTTTTTTGGCAAAAGCATTTCACGCTAGTGTAGTGTTTGTGTTGTAAGGGTAACGGGTGAAATGTCATGTTTTTGTAGAAGGATTGTACTTTTCTCCATTTTCTCCGTATACATTTTGTGGTGTTCTTGCTTTTAGTGATATCTTGTGAATCATTTCGTGTAGGTGACGAGCTGCAAGCACGAGTTCCACCTTCAATGCATGCTCGAATGGTATGAACAAGCGTACATCTTTTTTTAATGCTTAAGTTTATTCCTGTTGTAAGCTCAATATTAATTGGTTGTATATTGCATTTTCGGTCGTGATAAGTTTGCAAGGCTTATTTATGAAAATAGCAGAAAATCGGTTGTGTGGCACGATATGGTCTGATGAATATATGATGAGATACCACTTTGAAGTTATAGATACCATCAAACAATTTTTCACGAGAGACCTCAAAATGAAACTCTGATAATATGTTTCTCATCATTCCTCTGTTTTCAGAAACTTCTACTGGCTGTGATATACAAAAATTTGGAAGTGTATTAATCTGACTCTGTTGCTTTCAATTTATTTTAACTTCTGCTTGCAATTGAACGGATGTCATTCCATTAGAATTTGGAGATATCTTTTTGACTATAATTGTTTTGATCTAAACATGAGCATGGCAAACATAGGAAATGGTGAAACGAATGCTCTTCTGAGAGGAAAAAAAAAAAAGCAAACGAAAGAATCAATTAATCTTTAAAATGTATGAAACAGGTGCCAAAGAAGCTCCAATTGCCCGATGTGCTGGCAAACCCTCAAACTGAAAGATCCCACAAGGTTTGTCATTGATATTCTTCGTCCCGTGTACTTAACATTCATTATTTTGTCCCGTTATATCTTCGGTTTTGCAGAATTCATTTTTCTTTTACTATTTGCAGCCAAGAATTACTTGATGCAATGGAACGTGAGAGGAGCCTCAGGTCTGCGCCCCCTCCACGGAGCACGAGAATATTCCATCATCCGACCCTTGGAGATTTCGAGCTCCAACATGTCCGTTGTTTTTTTTTTCCTCACATTTTTTTACCAATATTTCTTGAT